TAGCATTGTACCCTTAATCATTTATCTCAATAAACAGCAGTATTACTTAGACAGGAATGATTTAAAGAACAGAAATCTATCCTTGGAAACTTGACTTAACAGGATATAAACAAAATAATAACAAGCTAAACATATTTTATAGCTTTCAAATATAGGAGATTCTGTACATGTGGAAAATATCCTTTTGGATCAGTTGTTAGTATTATTATTATTATTATTATTATTATTATTATTATTATTATTATAACATTTCTATGCCGCCCCTTGCCGAAACCTCGGGGCGGCTTACAACATGATAAAACACATTGAAATACAATAGTACATAATAAATTACCATTAAATATAAAAATACAAAAAATACATTGATTTACAAATATAAAATTAAAATTATCAGTATAAAATAAAAATATAGGGGGAGAAAGAGAAGGAAGAAGAAGTTGCCCTGGCCAGATCATATGTTTTAACAATTGAAATGATGTTTAAACAAAAAGGTCTTTACCTGGCGCCGAAAAACCAGTTATCCCCAAATGTTGCCTGAAAACCAATATGGTTAAATTGATACTAATAATTGTTACTGTGTTTAAAAGCCTTGACTTGATATGATGCTGAATGAATCAAGTTTGAATTTATGTGCGTATAAGCCTTGTATTTGCTAATCTTATGCTGATATTTTTATATTAAAATACATGAGACAAATCTTGTCTGACCATGTATTTTCTAGAATTGGAGAACTTTGTATGACCTGTATCTACAATAAGGAATGTATATAAATTCGACATCTTATGAGGAATCAGAATATATTAATTAAACCAGCAGTCTGGGTTTACTGCATACTGATAACATATTTTGAGAGAATCTCTGAACCAAGGCAGGTGCCACAGAAGCAGTGTGTGTGTGAAAGAGTGCTGGAGAGCACAAACTGGGCATTTTTCTTATATGCATATATCTAGGCCTATAAATCCTAACAATAGCTCTCTCTGCCTCTACTCCTGGGATAAATCTCTATGATTGTTATGGTGTTTCTTCCTTCCCATCAGCAATCTCTCCCTCCTGATTATGCCCAAGGAACTTTGAGATCTGTGGTTCTTGAGAGAACATGCCACATAAAGGAATCAGAACATCCTCAAGCTTCAAGGCTTATTCGAAATGTACAAACACACTCTCTCCATTCTGGAAGAGACCCTATACCATGGGTCCTCAAACTACAGCCTGCAGGCCATATCTGGCCCACCATGCCCATTTATCCAGCCCGCCTTAGAGGTTTTGGACTCGCTTGGAGAAAACGATCTCTGAACAAGCAACCCGCTGCCGCACTGTGCTGCGCGTGCCCGCTGCCACCTCGCCTCACGCCTGCCGCTGCTTCACCTCGCTGCACACCCATCAGCACCTCACCTTGCCTCACCGCGCCCTCACTGGCTTGTGTCCATCACTGGCACCTTTCAACTGCCCCCTGCTGAAAAAGTTTGAGGACCCCTGTCCTAGAGCAACACTTCAGTGTTCAGGGAGTTCAGAATGCTGTATGTTCTGACTTTCAAGATGGCATCGGAACGACACGGACGTGATTAATGGAGCTTCTGTTATCACGCCGGTATTGCTTGGTAGCGAGTCGTGGGAGACTCATCTAAGCCCTGTCGGGGCGAAGACAGATTGCCTGGCACCTTTTCTTCTGGTTGGTGTAGGACGGCAATCCTATATCTACTGGAAGAGACTCAGGCATTTCTCAATCGGGCAATACAGGGGGTTTTCTTAGCCCCTGCCAGTTCTCGACATCTGATGGATTAATTAGCTTACTTTAGCCAGATAAGCATCAGACGGCTGGTAAGCATTCTTATTTCTTATTTCTTTTCGCAATATTACCCATGGAAAAGCTGTACTTGTTTATAATTGACCTAGAAGAAAGAGAAAGCCCTCTCGAAGTTTTTTAAGCGGCAACTGACATATGAGAGGATGTGAAGACTCTTATCTGAATTGAAGCCGAAGAGAAAGATTTTTCTTCTAATCTCTCTAAGGGCGAAGGCAAAGTGAATAATTGCTATGGAACTAAATCAAAGGATAGAAGATTAGAAGTTGAAGCATACACTTTGGATGCCTGTTTGGACTTCTGTCAAGGCTAATTGGACACTAGCCAGGAAAGTTTTTGTTACATGGTGTTTCCTCTCTACTGTGATGTCTTTCTGGTGAGCATTTTTACTCTTTTACTTACTTTCTTTTTGCAATATTACCTGTGGAAAAATTGTATCTGTTGATAACTGGCATAAAGAAGAAAGAAAAAGCCCCTAATTTGCTGGTGGCCATTTTTTTTGGCCAGCTTCCAATCTTCCTGGGTCTGATGACATTTTTTCATTTTTAAATAGCCTTTTGCCTTTTAAATAGCCTTTTGCTGCCACCCGGTGGTTATCGGAATTATTGCAAGCTACTTTCTTTTTTTCTGTCTCTCTTTTTTTCCCCCCCCTCTCTCTTTTTCCCTCCTTTTTCTTTTGATATATTGAAATTTCTTTGGTGCACAACTTCCATCATGAGGAAAACTCAGCCCTCTTTAGCACCTTCCTCAGTGGGTCAGAGTCCAATTCATCAGCCTAAGAAAGAAGATGTTGCAAAAAGCTTAATGGCGATACAGGCGGCTTTAACAACTTTGCAAGCATCTCAAGAGGCGATGTCAATACGGCTGGAAAACTTATCAAATGAGCAAAAAGAACGACTTGACAAATTGGAGAACTCTATTAGAGAGGTGACAACTCAATTATCTGATGTCTGACTTAAAGCGGAACAGAATACACGAAAATACAAGTCTGTGAAAAATTGGAGACAGTAGATAAAGAAATATATTTAATTAAGCAAACAAATAAGTCAACATGGGACTCAATGGCTATATTAGAGATGGAGAAGGCATCTTATTATCTAAGATTTCAGAATATACCTGAAGAGAAAAATGAGGACCTCATCATAACTGTCATGTTGGCGGAGCTTTTAGAAATCAAGAACGAAGTCATGGGTATGGGAATTGATCTTGTTTTTAGGGTCAACTCCTCTTATACCAGAAAAAATAAACTTCCGAGAGAAGTCCATGTCAAATTTGCTCTAAGGTCTATAAGACATAATGTTTTGAAGGCCGTACAGGAGAAGCCGTTAAAGAGAGATGATCATCAGGAGGTGACAGTCCTGATACAAATTCCATGGAGGATTAGAGAGGGAAGAAAGAAATATCGATTCCTTACTACAAAATTGATCAAGAAAGAGATTATCTTTAAGTGGCTAATACCAGAAGGAATATTTTTTACATGGAACTCTGTAAGATATAAATTGGATTCAATTCTTAAAGCACAAGAGTTCTATGAAAAATTTAGAGTTATGCTAGAAGAGGAGGATCCTGTCATCTCTAAAGAAGGAGAAACAGGTGCCAAAGCAATGGAAATAACAGCATACCACTCCGAAGAAGGAGAAATACTGAAGGCTGATTCACAACAAGAAGTACAGCTATTGAATTTTGAAGGGATCATAAGATATGATGATATTTTGGATAAGGATGGGGGCCTGAACCTAGATCAAGAAATACAAGAACAGGGACTCAATATCTCGTGGTGGTATAAGGTGCAGATGCAATCAAGATATGCTAAAGATTGTAAAATATGGGGGTTTTATAAACCTAACAGCCTTTGATCAAGTGATGTTAAAAACAGATGAGAAAATGATTAAAAGAATTTATGAGTTCCTACTTGACAGGAAAATGGAAGGGGAACAGGTTAAGGAAACTATGATAACATGGGCACAAAATTTTGGGTATAATATTGAATTAGAAAAGTGGCAAAACTTATGGGAGAGAAATATTAAGGTAACTTTAGCAACTTCGTATAAAGAAAATTTATATAAAATGTTTTATAGATGGTATTTGTTGCCAAATCGGTTAGCTAAAATGTTGCCAAATATGTCAAACAGATGTTGGAAATGTAAACATGAAGTGGACACTTTTTACCATATGTGGTGGACTTATGAATATGTGAAAAAGTATTGGATTAAAATATATAAATGGATTGAGGAAATGCTACAAAAACCCTTAGCTTTTAAACCTGAAATTTTCTTGTTAGGTATTGTACTGGAAAATATTAGCAAACAAGAAATGTAGTTGATACTACATTTAATCACAGCAGCGAGGATTGCGCTTGCTCAATACTGGAAGAGTGAGGAACTACCCACAGAGGAACTGATTTTAAAAAAGATTCTGGACTGTGCAGAAATGGGCAGATTGACTCTATTATTGAAGGAGAAAGAAGATACTGACTTCTATCAAACTTGGGACCTTTTTTACGAATGGCTGGAGAAACGGGACTTGGCTTAGATTTAAAGATGTCTATAAATTTTTATAAATCGATTTGAATATGATTATAGAATGTTTAAAAGATATGTTATAGGGGGCTGACCCAGTACGTCCGACGTATTTGATGACTGATTATTTTTTTAGTTTTTAGTTTAAAATCGTAATAAAAAATGTGCAAAAAAAAAAAAAAGAATGCTGTATGTTCAGCCCTAACAGTGCTTCTGACTGGCTTCAGCAAATTTTACAGGATCTATGCAACAGGTACATAGATACAGAGAAATAGGTTTCTACAGATATCCTCAAGAATGATCTACAGATAAACTTGGCTTTCCTTCGCATGATAATGGGGCTACAGCCTCAGCAACACCCCTTGATTTATGAGCTCTAGTAAAATGAAACCCTCCATTCCTATGTTTGTGCCCTGTAACAAGTAATTGAACACGTTACAGTGAATTGCTTTTAAAAATTAACTTACAAGACAAGAATTATGTTTTTGTAATATCAGAAAATTCACTTGATATTGAGTTATGTGCCTGGATTCATCTGCTGGGAGGAGAGGCAAATTTAACCAAGTGGACCACGTGCAATAGCAGTAAGATCAGGACACAAGCGAAACATAAACATTTGTACATCACAAGTTTCAATATCTATTTTTTCTTGTAGCAAAGTAGAAATAAAGATCACTTACCTCAATATTTGTAACAACAATTTCTCTAAACACATATGCAATGGTGCAATCTTCAGATTGACATTTGACACGAAAGTTACCATACTCCACAACATCTGGAGGATCAGGCCAATAATGATGACATTTGGTCTAGCACAAAACAAAAAACTCTGGTTTGATATTCTCATTTTCTATCCAGCAGCATCTACTTTTTCTGTGCAGAGGTGGCAGGTAACTCCCATTGCATATTTTGTTCTGAGAGTTATAGGAACTATCCATAGTGCTGGACTCCATCTTCAAAATATGTTCACCACCATGAAAGACCATGAGTAACACTTATAAAGCTCAGAATAAAAGTTATAATAGCTACCTCCCTTCTGCAATGTAGCAACCTATGTTAGAAGGCTGCATATTCAACACAATTATTTACTAGCTAATACTAATAAAATATGCAGTACATACCAAAGGGATAATGCAATCTATTAAGAAGCATCCTGTATAATCCTATCAGCTAAGTAGGAAACTCAGTTCCATTTTTGCCAGTTTATCCTCAAGACTGAAATTGGAACCTGGTAATTTGTCTTGGAAAAGAAACTCACTTTAAAAAGTATGTATTTCAATTATATTAAAGCAGAAATATACAGAACGTGTTAAATCTGTTCTGTCCAGCTTCCAGTTTTCAAGGACTGTGCAGATTCTGATTCTGGTCATTGACAGAATCAGTTTTTTTGATAAGCTTTTAATTCATTCATTTGCAAGTGCACATCAGTGCAATGGCAGTCCTGTGCAGGTGTGCACTTGCACAAATCCCCTACAAGTTTAAAAACAAATCAGCAAATCTGTTAACTCTAAGATCCACTGAAAGCCCTCCTTGGGAGAGGTGAGGACAGTTACCAGGAGGACAGTGCCCCAATTATGGAACTCGCTCTCCAGAGAGATGCACCTGGTGCCAACGCTTTATTCCTTTCGGCACCAGACCAAAACCCTTTTATTCTCACAGTTTTTTAATTAATGTGTTTTAATTAGTTGTAGCAACTGTGGGCACTAGGGAGTTTTTAACTATTTTATGGTTGTAATATGACTTTAATATATATTTATATTTTTGGTTTTTATGTAAACTGACTTGAGATTTTATAATAATCAGATGGTATACAAGACATTGGAAATACATAAATAAGTAAACTCTGCATGTCTCAAAAAAACAGCCCACAGTAAGATCCATAGGTCAAATGTATTGAAATCTGAACTTATTTAAATCTGTTGCAAATTTCCCCTAGATGAAAATCCCAGTTTCTCTTTTTACACACACATCTCCCAACCCCTGAAATAGATTGAAAAGCGTTCTACCTACCCGCCCTCGTTCTGTGAGAGTTGTCAACATAATAATCAGTGATACTCGATGATCCCAAACTGCTTGCCAGAAGTGTGTACATGTGTGTGGAAGAGGGCCTTGAGTGGCAATGTATTTGTTCATAATGCCAGCAGAAGGAATTTCCATCTATCAGGAGAAAGGAAGCTCTGAAGTTAGCTCTCAGTAGAAAATGCTTTGAAAAAAATGTGATTAACAAATGCAACTTGATTTTTAAAAACTATGTAGAATTTCAACTCATCTTCCAATATTGCATAAATACATAGCCAGATTGCTAGATCAAAACAGAACCAAAACTAAATACATGAAATGAGCAATTTTAGTTTGACTTTAATCTAAATAAGTTATATGCTCTTCCATATCAAAAGTGATGGTATGATGCCTAGGTAAAATTAAATCTATTTTGCAAGCTCCCCTTTGTAGAGAATTATTATGTAGAGGCTTGATGGTCATCTTTCAGAGACTTTGTTGTTGAATATTATATTACAGATTCTGCACCAAAGGATTCTCCTAGATGACCTACTTACTCACTCCATGATCTGATGTGTAACTTCAACCACCATGGAGGTTCACCTTATAACAAACTGAGACATACACATAAATGGATTGTCATATGGAAAAAATGGCCGAGCTTTTATTTTCAAGTATTGTCCATCGTATGCTTTTCATATTAATCACATTGCTCATACATTATATATTACTTTACTTGTCCAAAACTGAAGTACATAAATTCTTGAACAGGTACATATTCAGCTGTACTGCCTGGTCCTCCTTCACCTCTACTTGAAGTTCATGCACTAGAGCAGGGGTCTCAAACTCGCGGCCTGTGGGCCAATTGCGGCCCGTGGGATGATATTTTGTGGCCCCCACTTGATATCAAAGTTTAGTGATAGTGCGGCCCGCGCATTTTTCTCACACGCACCTGTGTGAGTCATTACCCTGAGCGCAATGTTCCCTCTAAGCTGCGCACCGGGACAGGAGGGGCATGGGGGAGGGGCTCTGTGGCCTTCAAAGGCCTCTGGGAGCGATGCGGGATGAGCGGCCCACCACCACAGCGGTGAATACTTGACGCGGCCCAGCCTCACCCAGACTCTACTTCCAGCGGCCCCCAGATAAGTAGAGTTTGAGACCCCTGCACTAGAGGTATAGAGTCTATATATGTTAAGCATTATACATTAAGCCACAAGTTTACCTGGTGAAGGATGGAGTCACTGGAGGATGCAGTATTGCCCTTGCACAAACATCCAGCCTGTAATGTTTGATGAATGCTGAGGACATGGACCACATGACCCCTCTGCATCTTGTGGGAAATCCCAAGCAAGGAGGGCCATGGATGTGGCTAACTTTCACGTTGAATGGATCTTAGGCTGCACTGTGAGGAGGAGGCCTGCAATTACCTTTGCCAGACAAATGGTTTTAGTGACTCAGTTGGCCAGTCTCTGTTAGGATAGTGGGTCTCCTTTAGTCTGGCCACCTTAGCAGATGAATAGCCTTGGCAAATGGAGGAATGGCTTGGTTCCTGCCCAGTGAATGCTTAGGTCTACACCTAAGCTTCCCAACAACAGGCTCTGTGCAGGTGCAATGCCCATATGTGTGATGCAAAGACCATGAAGAAGAAACAACTAGATAAAATCTGTCCAAAGAATGTAAATTTTAAAGTAATTTAAAATAAGTACAGTAATGATGAACAGATGTCTTTCTCGCTAACAGCCAGAAAAGTTTTTTTTTTTTCATAAACTTGCACTAACAAGGGCCTATAGAGAAAAATAGGGCATAGCCTAATTATTATGAGGTGCCATCAGCTTTGATGTGACAGGAGCTTAAGTTAAGTCCCTCCACCATCCAGGAAAGACAGGGGCCATATTGACAAGGAGATTTGCCTCAAGATTCTGCATTATTTGGTTCCACCCCCAGTTTTGACCAATGGAGGCAAATGAGACAGGAGAATATTTGTAGAGTACTACAGGATAAGAGACTGTTGCTGTAACAGGAAGATATTTATACATTTCACATTTTTCTGAAAGCAAGTGATAAGCAGCTGAGGTACAGGAAAAGCTGGGGCCAATTATCTCTGTTTTTGTACCCCAGCCACAAGGTTGTGGTGTAAGATGCCTCCGTCAGATCGATGTCATGTAAATGATTGATGTCCTCCTTTCTCTTACAGGTGTTTGATATATTTTGAAAGAACTAGTTTTTGAAAAAGACATCTGTGATTGTCAGAAGAATGTAATGAAGCCAAACTAAGAAACCTAAATGACTATAACTTTTCCCTGTTTATCACATGGGTGAAATTTGCAAGCTTATTAGCTCATTAGGAAAGGATTATGCCTGCCAAATCTCTTTAAAAATGTGAAGTGGTTTTTGTGCACATGCCTTTCCATTTCAATTTTTGTTTAAAAAAGGATATTACTAATAACTAAAAACTTGTTTTATTTCTTCACAGGATGAAATGTTCAAGGATAATTACCCCTTTTGGGGGTGGGTTGAGCCTACCAAGTTTCAGAGGAAATGAGACAAACCAGACCAGATTTTACATTTTGAGGCTACCCTAAAATGTATTAAGTATCCATCTATATTCTTTCTGGACCATTCTTCTGAAAATGGTAGATAAAACAAAATTGGCCCTCAGTAAGAAAACGGCAGTGTTTCAGGAGGAATGGTGCAGTGCTCTATGTGGAAGAGCAGCTAGTGATTCCCTCCTGCTGGGGTATCACTTAAAGCCCAGCTTCAATTCTGGTTGCTTGAAAAGGATGTCTGCTTCATCCTGGGAGGCCCCCGAAATGTCTGAAGAGGGCTGATTTGGCTTGGACTTCAGATGAATCTGATACAGAAGAGATTATATGGGAAATGCATTGCTTTCCAATAATTTTAGGTTAAAAGCTGCTCTGAGGGCATGAACTGGAGTGGGTGAATACCAGCGAAAATGCCTTTTGGTTATGCAACATCTTGCTCAGAAAACTGTTCAATTGGCACCATTCCTGTGGATTTTTGAAAAAATAAATCATGTAGTCTGGGCTTCTGTTTTAAAATTCTGTGTTTAATTTTCAGGGCCATGATTTTATTATCATATTTTACATTTCTTTTGATTTTATGGCTAATATATTTTGTATGTAAAGTATTTTATGATACTGATTGTAAGCCCCCTATAAAGTATTATAAGAAGTCATACAAATGTCTTAGATAAATGTGATCCACATTTAGATTATTCCTAGACTATTAGCAATAGTATTGTATATATGAAGCATTGCTGAACAATTCTGCTACTACTACATTTAATAATCTTTTAAAAATTACTTTATTTTTAAATTCAAAAATTGCCTGTGTTACTTACATTCACATAATTTGCATTTATATAATCATCATTTCCCTTTAATATTACTCGGGTTTTATCATCTGATGGGAGAAAAAAATGAAAAACAATAATTATGTTGCAAAAATATTACCTTTCTTGAAGAAATATAAAAGTAGTACAAATTTTTAAATCACAGAAAGGAGGGGAAATACTGCACAAAAGAGACATAAGAAACTCTCTTCAAGGAAAACAAACCCAAGAAAATATATATTGACTTACAGGATGGACAAGAACACATTTCACCAATGCAGAGCCATTTTATGGAAATGAAGTAAGATAGGAACCCACAACCAAATGTGCTCATGTTCAAAGTCTGAAGTCATTTAATTGATATACCCAGAAATCAAAAGAGAATAAAACTTGATCTTGATAGACTCAGCTGAGATGGTAGTTGGGATTTTCCTCCCTGAAACTCCAGAGATAAGCCTATTACTGTAATGTTCAGGTGACCACTGAAAATAACCTGAGGAAAAAGCCTTGTTGAACCCTGCCCCAATGAACCATACAGAGGCATGGAGTTGCCCTCTTCCTGGGCAAGGATATCAGCCTCCCTTGAGCTGCAGGAATACTGGCAAAGAAAAAAGATGTACTTCACCCTATACTCTTGGGTGCTTTTTAAACATGAACATCCTTCCCAGTCCTGATCCAAGCAGGCCAAATTCCTCACACTCCCTTAATTTTTCTCTCCCAGCTTCAACTGAAACCCTCAACATCTCATAGCAAAATTGTTCTCTATATCTACAGCAATTTACCAGGCTGTTTCAAAGAACAATTTAAAATTATAAACTAATGTACTTTTGCACATTAGAGAGTATCTTAAATATATAAATGCCACCTTACATTTGAGTGTTTCTGTTTTGCTTTCAAACTTACAAGTGTATGGAATCATCTCTGTCTGGCATTAAAGGAAATTATAACCAAGAGAAACATAATACTCACATGGCAGAACATCTTTGTACCGATTTTTGTCCATATTCTGAGGTAGCTTTGCAGAAGTAACAGTTAATCCTGGCTTTTTCCTATAAAGTTGCTGAACAGAAATATAATTCCTTTTGTAAGATCAAGACCTTAACATTTACATTCAATGCAGCTAAACATAGGCAGAATTATTTTACAATACAGAAACTGAAAGACTAAATGACTGACCAATTGACACAAGTTGTGGCTTTTTAGGCATGCAATTAAAATATCACCAACAAGATATTTTGATTTTTTTAAAAAAGGAACAGGTCAATTCATAAAGAGAGTATCCAAGACAAAGCAACAAAAACATTTTATTTATATTTTGCCTTTTTCCTCTTGTGAGGTACCCAAGGTGGTCTACATAGCTCCATTTTATCCTCACAACAACCATCATATGAGGCAGGTTAGGCTGAAAATGAGTGACTGGCCCAAAGTCACCCAGTGAGCTTCATGGCCAAGTAGGAACTAGAACCTAGATCTCCCAGGTTCAACACTCTAACTTCCTCCCCATAGGCCCTTTATTATTGATCCTCACTCGTTCATTGATTCATTCTCACTACTATACCACCAAATAGCCAAAGGTACATGGGCAGTTCACAAAAATTATAGCCAAAAATACAACAAAAAGATTTTGTATTGTTTTTATTTACATACCAAATTGTAAAACAATTTAAAACAGGTTAAAAAGTTACAACAGAACACTGCAAGACAGCATCGTGCAGTGAAAAAAACAGCATTAGTCATATATGGGGTCATTTTTTGACCTCAGGCCAACATGCCTCAGCAAGTATAAGTAATTTAAGGTTTAATCCTTCCTAAGGCTATGCAAGACAATAAAATTTTCATAACTGTGCTTGTCCTACTTACAAACAGTGCTTTTCTCTGCATAACAATAATTTGCCCTATTTACTTTAAAAATCATGGCCAAGCTTCCCCTCAATTGATTTAATTCTGTTCACTGGAGGATTCAGCTAAGAATCTTAGCTTCAAAATGAGGTCAAGTGGTGGCGAGGAGTGCTTTCCTTCAGCTTCGGCTGATCCATCAGCTGCATCCTTACCTGGACAAGCACTGCCTAGCAACAGTGTCACATGCTCTGACAACCTCCTGGTTGGACGATTGTAACATGCTCTATGTGGGGCTGTCCTTGAAGACAGTCCAGATACTTCAATCGGTTCAAAGCAGAGCAGCCAGATTGCTGTCAGGGGCTGGTCACTATTCTCATGTTACACCGGTCCTCTATCAGCTACACTGGCTCCCCATTGAAGTCCAGGCCCAATTTAAGGTGCTGGTATTGACGTATAAAGCCCTAAACTGCTTGGAACTAGGATACCTAAAGGAACATCTTTTTCCCTATACACCCTCCTGCCCCTTAAAATTGGCAGCAGAGGCCCTCCCCCAGGAACCCTCTTTGAAGGAGATTAGGAGACGGAATACTCAGAGGAGGGCTTTCTCTGCGGTGACACCCCAGCTATGGAATGTGCTCCCTAGAGAGGTCTGCCTGGCGCCGTCATTATATGCTTTTTGGCATCAGGTTAAGACCTTTTGATTTACCCAATATTTTAAAGTTTAAATATTTCAGTCAGGTTTTATTAACATCCTCAGTCGTATTTTATCTTGTTATTGATTGTTGTATTTATTAGGTATTTATCATATTGTAAGCCATCCAGAGACAATTGGTATAGGGTTAAAAATATCCTAATAAATATAAATAAATAAATATCCACTGAAATGTCTTTTGTTTCTTTGTTTGGGACCTATTCTTTCAGGTATAAAATATTCCATAGCATTATTCTTGTGGAGATGAAGATTAAAAGTCCTATCATATGCCATCAGATATCACACCAAGATCAATAACTAGCAAGAAAAATGACTGAACCTGCAACTGAGGTATGCTGGGCCCCTTGCTTAATACACTTGATTTGTGAGTAGACATTCTCCTAAGTGTGTGGCACTGCAGCTGATATAGTATTATATTAAAAGAATTAAATACGTTAATTGTGTAAGTAATATTTGTTTGTTCAAAATTTTTGTATCCTGCCCTTCACAGTTTCTCGGGGCAATGCTACAGTGTCTCAGGTACTATCTTAATAGTACTCCTTGAAAATATCCTTTCTTCAGCAGACAGTTTCACTCCAGCTAGCCTCTTTCATACCCTATTTCCTAACATTTCTGAGAATACAATCTATGTAAATGAGCCTACACTATGAATGGCACAATGGATTAGCACATTAGCCAATACCAGTTTACACTAACATGCGAAAATACACATTTTTAAAAAATGCAATACATAGAATGACAAATAGGAACAAATGAGCAGTCTCACTTTGTCCCCAGTCAACATAGAACACATCTAGTACAATGTAAGACAGAAATAATGACCTTGTTCGTACACCACAATCCACAATATTGTAGCTGCTAGTCTTTTGCCGCAATGCCAGTGCTTTGCTATGGCAGGGCTATTTTATCTAACTGGTTGAATTCCAATGCTAAAATATACTGTCCAGTTCAAATTTTTAGTTTCACAGGAGAATGTGGGGATATAGGGGAACAAACTTAGTACATCTGACAAGTTGTAAAAGTTAAAAACAACAGTTACAGGTAAGCAACATGATTTTCACCATGGTTTTTAATATTAAATATAGTCTGTCTGAAAAGTGAGATGTACTATAGTTGTGATATAAACAGCCATTGATCACTAGCCAACTTTTAAGGATATGAACTATTTTGGAATTGTGATCTTAATATCCAGAGTACAAATATTGCTATTCACAGAAAAAACTACAGTTTGTTCTTTGAAAGGTCATCTGTACAGTAACTCTAACTGGCTCTCAACATTAGCAATTTCGTATAAAGAAAATTTATATAAAATGTTTTATAGATGGTAAAACATCAAAAATCAATTAGCTAAGATGTTTCCAAATATGTCAAATGGATGTTGGAAATGTAAACATGATGGGTACTTTTTACCATATGTGGTGGACTTGTGACAATGTGAAAAAAGTATTGGATTAAAATACATAAATGGCTTGAGGAAATGCTACGAAAACCCTTAGCTTTCAAACCTGAAGTTTTTTTATTAGGCATTATACCGGAAGATATTAGTAAACAAGAAATGAATTTGATGTTACATGTAATCACTGCGGCGAGGATTGCATTTGCTCAACACTGGAAAAGTGAGGAATTACCCACCAAGGAACTGATTCTAAAAAAGATTCTGGACTGTGCAGAAATGGATAGATTGACTTTATCACTGAAGGAGAAAGAAGATACTGACTTCTATCAAACTTGGGATTTTTTTTGTTATTGGCTAGAGAAACGGGACTTGGCTTAGATTTAAAGATATTTTTAAGTTATTATAAATGGATTTGAATATGACTATAGAATGTTAAAAAATATGAGTAGGGGGCTGACCCAGTACGTCCAATGTATTTGATGATTGATGTCTTTAGTATTAGTTTAAAAATCTTAATAATTTTTTTTAAAAAGTGACATTATAGGAGGCCAAACAATTGGAGGTTACCTATTTATTTATTTAAAACATTTTTATGCCACCCCCATAGCAAGAAAGCCTTGGGGCAGCTCACAACAGGAACAAAATATACAAATATAACAAATTATACAATAAAAATATTAAAACCCAGTGCATCTCAGCTTAAAAGATTTAAACTCCTATAAATAACCAATAAATTAACAATTAAAATAAGTTTTAAATAAAAAGGTCTTAGCCTGGCACTGAAAAACAAATGATGGTGCCAGGCAAATCTCTCTGGGGAGCGCATTCCATAGATGGGGTGCCACTGCTGAGAAAGCCCTCCTCCGGGTACTCACCCTCCTAATATCATTCACAGAGGGCTCCCGGAGAAGGGCATCCGTTGCTGATCTCAAGGGGTGGGAGGGCATATATGGGCGCAAGCGTTCCTTTAGATACCCAGGACCCAAGCTGTTGAGGGCTTTATAGGTCATAACCAACACCTTGAATCGGGCTCGGACTTCAATTGGGGGCCAGTGGAGCTGATGGAGAACTGGGGTTATATGAGAACAACACCCAGTCCCCATCAGCAGCATTATTCTGCACCAATTGAAGTATCCAGACCGTCTTCAAGGGTAGCCCCATGTAGAGCGCGTTGCAGAAATCTAATCGGGAAGTTATCAACACGTGTGTCACTGTCGCCAGGCAGTCGTTCTCCAGGAAGGGACGCAGCTGATGGATCAGCCGAAGCTGAAGGAAAGTGCTATTGTGTTTTAGATTGTTTTTAAAAAGGACTTGCATCTCTACCCTTATTCTGAGCATTCTCTGGAAGTCTGGGAAGGCAGTTGCATTTTAGAATGTTGATACCAGAAGTAAAAGGAAGCACAGCCTCTTCCCAGTTCTTGTGAAGCTCATCATGCTCTTTGCAAACTCTAGTCCCTCACTCTTAACTGTTTTCATGTTTTATTATTCTTTCTTTTTATGTCATATTTCAATATAAAGTGCTTAGGGATTTTAATATATTAAGCTGTATAGAAGTATTTCAAATAAATAAAATTCTTCAAAAATGAACTCTAACTGGTTCTCCACCTGTACAAAGCCAAGCAAGATTCATGTTTTGGTTTACTTTCAGTACACACTCTCAATTGGATGTGGCCCATCTTCCGACTCTGTCCACAATTATCCATATGCAGCAGCTTATATAAGGAAGTAGCAAGAGAGAACAGAAACTTCTAACTTACAAGAACTAATTTACAAGAGAGTGAACAATAACCAGTAAGCAACTGGTTCTAGTTCCCACTTTGCCATGGAGCCAACTGGGTGACTCAGCCCAACCTGAAAGCAGGAGGAGGAGAATGATGTGAGCCACCTTGAGTTCTTTGTAAGGCAGGATATAAATCTAATAAATAAATAAATAAATAAATAACCAATTGTTCTTCATCATCCTCTTTTTGAAGTCACACAGAATAGGCGTGGGGCAGGTGCAGCACGAAACCATGCACATCATGGCTTTTGTGAAAGAACTACCCATCCTAGCCTCAACATCACATCTGTAGAGCTGGATGAATAAAGAGGGCTGCAACAATACTACTATGTAGTAAAACTCTGGTACTGACACCCCATTAAGGAAAGCTGTTAAAGAAGTGACTATGCCAGTGGAATGAGCACGAACCTTTTGTGGAGCCAGAAATTTGCCCAGTTCTTAATACTGAAGCAATTTAATAAGCAAATTGCTGGAGAGAGAAACATGTAACAAAGGAACAGCTTGGAATTTTTTCTCAAGTTTGCAGTCCTGTCCACATAAAATGCTAGAGCTCTCCAAACATTCAAAATGAATAAATGAATCTTCAGCTATGATGAGGAAAAAATACAGGCAAAATTGAGTTTTCAGTAAGACATTCACCATAAGTGGGGGCAGTCTGCTGCCACAACAGGCATAGTGACAAAAGGAACATGATGCACTACTGGTGGAGGGATTCTGTTTCCAGACTGAATCTATCTGAAGAATACAGGAAAGGGGAGTTATGAACCCATCAATACGATCGGTCCCTCTAAGCCAGGGGTCCTCAAACTTTTTGAATAGGGGGCCAGTTGAAAGGTGCCAGGGATGGGCGTGGCTGCCAAGGTGGTGCAGACAGGGGGGCTGTGGGCCGGAGGGGGGGCATGTACATGTGCGCACACGTGCATGCAGAAAGGCAGGGGCATGCATGTGCAGAGATCATTTTCTCCCAACAAGTCCAAAACGATCTCCTTGCGAGCAAGCTGGTGCCAGCTTGCTCTCAAGGAGATCGTTTTGGACTCACTCAGAGAAAAAGATTTCCCAGCAAGGCGCCGGCTCACTCACAATGAGATCCTTTTCTCTGAGTGAGTCCAAAACAATCTCCTTGTGAGCAAGCCGGCACCTTGCCATGCATGCACATGGCAAGCTATGGCGGGCTGGATAAATGGGCATGGCAGGCCGGATCCAGCCTGCAGGCCGTAGTTTGAGGACCCATGCTCTAAGATGAATCCCCTCCATATTCAAAATCATGAAAGAGCTATTCCTTAGGTTACTATCGCCTTGGGGATGACCGTTTCACATTGGGAAAATGTCATACACGGCAAAGTGACTGTCAGGGAAGTAGTGGCATCAATTTCTTGGGTCACTCCAATATTGGAATGAGATCAATCAAAGTTACCATCTTCTGATGTGGATCTCCTCAACCGCCAGTGGATGAGTAAGAGGTACAGGTTTCACGAGACTAAGCAATGGTGAAGCCAAAAGGGAACTTCTTCAGAAAGGGAGGAGGTGATGTCAGCGAGAGGATGATATTTATTTATTTATTTAAAACATTTTTATGCTGCCCCCCCTTCGCAACAAAGTCGGGCCAGCTCACAACAGAAACACAGATATTTCTGTAAGGAAGTAGGAAGAGCTTCTACAGAAGGGGGTAGTGGTAAGACACCTGGTATGAAAACATTTACTCTGCCTGTCCATCCCTCTATCTTCCTATTGGTGTTGGGTTTGACAAGGACAGCTTGGATTTAGGTACCTTAGGAGGCAGAGACAAGACCCACTTTGTCCACAGATAAAGAAGCAAGGTAGCAGAAGGCGCACAAGATGGACTGAAGAGGTAACTCTGAAAAGCAATATATTGCTATGTCAGCTGGGGTCATGGGCAAGCCAGAGACCAGTGATTGCTAAATGACTGCTAGCTCTGTAGGATCAGTTGCTAACAAGGTGATAGACTGAGTTGACATTGAGCAGTGCCACGAGGTGTGTAAAACAGTAGAAGTCTTGACTTGGCCAACTTCCAGGGGAAGAGCAACTTTCCAAAGAGCCTTGGAATGTTCTCTCTGGTCAAGGGAGAAAGCTGTTGTCTTTTTTTGACTATCTAAAGCTAAGGAAATAAAAAGTTTCTAGCAATGATACAGCAGTCAAAAGGAACAGAGCGGGAAGGCAGGAACCACACTCAGTTGACCATATGTACTGAAGAAGGCAAGAAAGCTAGGGTAGCTTGAGAAAGTTCCAAGATGAGGCTCTGGGCAGGCACAGAATGAATGTGTGCAACAACAGAGTCTGTGAAGAAGAAAGCTAAGCTAACTAATTGTTAATAATACACAATTTTTTTTGCAGCTGTATTTTAGAAGTTTAAGATTGTTTGTACTCTAGCATAGCTAAGTATTACTAAAATTGCATCCTTAATGCAGATGAACCAACATTATATTGCATATAAAAATAATCCATTGCAATTTCTGCTTACTTAGAAAATCTAAGCAATATTGTAGAGTCATCAGTTAAAATACTTCTTTAGTAGACCTGACACACCACTTGTCAAAAAGAAGGCACTTGGATGTACACTTCTGGAACACTGAAGTTTCCATTTTCGGCAAGGCTATTAACTGAAGCATAATGATCAGGCATATAGAACAGCTGGAAAAAGAGAGCAGCCAGAAGCCTGCCTGCTTTCTTTGGATCTAGTCAAGAAGGGTCAGATTCAAATTAAACTCAATACTCTGATGGCTGGTTACCTCAAACTGAATTAGGACTGTTCCACTTTCTAGTCCTTTCTTCAGTTGTTCCATTGATTCCTCAAGGGTCTCACCATACTCCAAACAGGTGGGAAGAATTGTTTCTGGAAATTTAAAGCTATCAGCTTCATCCTCGGATTTGCACTCAATAAATGGCCTGACAACTGAAAGATGCAAAGACAAATATTCTTCAAGAGACAATGTTTAGATATATCCAACATGAACATGAAATAAAATGATTTTTTAAAGACAAAAAGGTACAGGTTTTGTTTACATGTACAAAAATAAGGACCTGAGATAGAACAGATCACTTAGGAAACCCTTTGAAAGAAATTATGTTGGAGAACACCAAAGCAAACATTCTGAGACAGGAAAACTATATACTGGAGGAGTAAGACCAACTCTTCCTCAGTTCAACTATTAACTCCATGGGAGTGTGACACAGTTTTCTCTTTTAAGATGCAACCTTCCTTTCTTGCCAGACAATCTCCTGAAATCTTATCCTACTATGGGAGAAAGAAAGTTTTTGGGATAAGTATCTTGATACATTGCAGTCTCCTAGAAGGCTAATGAATTCATTTCTAAGAGGCATATAGCTGAAAATGGAGCAGCTTTTCCCCTTCAATTTATAGTCTTATAAATTGTTTATAAGTTTTTCCACGTTATTTCCTTTAGAAAGGTTTCTTGCCTAAGGGCTAACCCAGCTAACCACTTTTATGTGTAATCTTGTATAGTAAAGAAAAATTAAATCACTTCTGCTAACATTATCTGGACACAGATTTTAGGTCCTTGTTTTAAGAAGACAATTTAAAACATTTAACCCCAAGGTCTCACCTGGAAATTGTAGCTTGGAATTATAATGAAATGAGTTTGCAAATGCTGGCTTCAAGACATGGTACTATCTGTGGTTTGTCAATGTGGATGTAACAGCAATCCATGGCTAGAGAAAAATCAGCATGAGAAATAGAACCTGTGCATGAAGAGTATGGTTTGGATAACCATGATATCCAATACAGGCCGGTGCAGTTTTCATAGTCAAAACTGGAGGACAGTTTTGCTAAAGAATTGCTACTGCAAGAAGAGAATTCTGGTTCTCCTGACTTAAAATTTCCCACCCAGCCCAAAGGTGACAGAGTTACTTGTAACTCTAGTTCTTTGGGTGTTCATCTGTACAGTCACACATAGGTTCCACATCTATGCAAAGTCCATTTAAAAAAACCCCTGCAGCTACACTAGGGCTTTTTTTGGGTCCCACAAATCCACTCCCTAATCATCAGACGTCATAGTTTCCACCTTTTCACTGAGTTTCACTCTGGCCAACACAACAGTTATACAAACACAAAGTGAAAACAGATGCACAATGATACGTGCAGCAGAGGAGGGTGGGCCATGAGACTGCACAAATGACAATTCTAGAACTCCATTTAAGCAACCCAGTCTTCCTATCTGTGATTTCTACCCAACCCTGCATATGGATACAATAGCTAGCTTATTTGTCAATTATTATTCTTATTTATTTAAGTAAGCCATCCTGAGGCTCTGCAAAAGGACAGCATATAAATATTCTAAATAAATAAATAAAAGCTAGAAGGTGGCCACAACCTTTGCTAAAGAGGCATCTTTCAGGACATTGGCCAGGATCAGCAGGGCAAATGTAGACAGCAGAGACATGAGCTGTACTCATGGCTCTTCATCTGCCCCAATTTTAATATTAACATGCAAATCTAATACAAAATACCATTATTATTTAATGGGTACAATTTTAATTGTTTCTATGCAAAATTCTAAAATCATTTTCTCTCTCAATCTAATAAAGATAAAAGCAAAGACCATTGTTAGCTATCTAAACTGTGTGATTTCAGTAGGTCAGCTGACTCTTCAGAGAAATTTAAGAATGACCTGCAAGGGAAGGAAGTTTCCAATATACAGATAGAATGTCAATCATATTTATTAAGACTCTTAAATACAGTAAGTCTACTTTTCAATGCCAATGCAGTATGCATTAGTTACCTTTCCGCCTGATCAGAAGCACAAGCTCTCTCGTGTGTGACTCTCTGCTGGCTTTTATAAACATCACCACTTGGTCATGAGTGTGTTCAGAGATGTCTCGTCCATTGATTAATACTATCTGGTCACCTTCAAGCAGTTTTGGAATGCACTTATCAGACTGCCATAAAGCCAAGAAGGGGGAGGGGAGGGGAAAATATCATCAGTATTTTCAAACCTGTCAGCCAAAAGAAATCTTGCATTTCTACCTCAATATGAAATATATTTAATAAAGAAAAACAAAGAAGATCTTTAAAAACAACTATACTTACAGGAGAGCCTGGGATTATTCTGGACACAACTAGAGGCATCTTCTGGTCAATACCACCCTAAAATATTATGCCAAAAATAATGATAAATAGATTTAGGCTGCAAACTTATATTCCCTTCCCGAAAATCACTGGAGCACAAGGAAGGCCTTGGATATTGCCCGTATTATGGAAGGATTATGATTATTTGAGACTAAAACTAATACAATTTAGGCAGTGAGTACACAACTATACTAACACTTTTCTGTGTGAAAACACAATAAAAGCAACTGTATTGTACTTCCATTTTACTGTTCCTTTAAGCTGTGAGAGCAGCACAAGTATCTGTGAATAAAATAATCCTTATCTCAACCACTGTCAGTAATGACTTTCACTTAAAGCAAAATGTGAGACAAATGTGAAAGTTCATGCTACGACAAAATACTTACAGAATTTTGCACAAAACACTATCAACATCTGTCAAAATTTGTTCATCCCTAATTTCAGCTCCCATTAGAAAATTATTTCACTGATTAATTTAACATTTGTACATTATTGCTTCACCTTGTTGTTGGCATGATCACCACTTTCTTAATCAGATTTTCATCCCTGGAGGCCAATTTCTCCCATAATTACTATTCACACATTGTATAACAGATGCAGCCAGGGTATTCTGGCCAATGAAAATAATCCTAGTAATCGAAGACCATTTTGTTTTCAGACATATTTGATCATCAAGGTTATTTTATCAGAGAATTTTACCTTCAGATTAAACCCAAATTTCCCATCTTCATCTGGCAAAATGTGTATTAAAAGCAAGTCGCCATCAATAATGTCATTCTAGAAGACAGTGAAAACAGACATTTGAATTGTATAATAAAGTAAACCCTGCAGCTATAAGCTAGTTCAAATTACCTCCTGCCTTCCTTTGGTGGGAAAGCAAGACTGTGACTTCCTGACCATTAAGCATCTCACATGTCAGCCTAATGTTTGAACACAAGCATATATAGGTAATGCTGAACAACACAACTGATATAATCAAGTCTACAAACTGATACTTTTGGGACTTACTCATGGTGCATTTTAAACATACAAACCCTGTGCAAATGTAATGCTCACTCATGGACAGCTAAGTAGTTTCTGAAGTAGGACATGCACAACCAATGTCAGAAAGACACAAACTTGCGTGATTTTATTTGCAAGTTCAAAATGCCTACGGTATAAGCCAATGTTGCTGTTCCAAAGATGATAGGAGCCAAAAAGCCATGTATTAGCACATTACAGAAAACCCATGATAGAATCATTAGAATACCATAATTCCCAAAGTCTAGGCCCTATGCTGGAAAACAGCTTTTGTTGAAGATCATTAAAGTAAGAGGCAGTACAGTGGCATGTACCAGGACTTTGCCTTGCCACCAGTAAGTCCTGTCTCCAGCTTGAGGTCCCAGTGAAAATATATGACCTTGCAAGTGTGGTTTGTGTACCTAATCTGCATCCATAAATCACTGTCACTGAATCCCTTTCTCTGTCAACCTGTCCTAACATGAGGAAGCTAAGCTACTCCAACAGTTAAGCAGAAGGAAAACAACAGTTAATTTGCATTTGCGCTGGGAAGAGGCAGGGCACGGGGAGGAGCCCTGCCGGCCACAAAGCACCAGCGGCGGACGGGCCGGCCTGCCAGGAGGAACCTGCGCGCCTGACAGACCCACCGCCATCTGCACCGCCCAGAGCCCACGCCGCCCACCCGGACCAACTCCGCTGCCGCCGGCTCCAATGCTGCCAGCCTAGAGGCCAGGACCATCGGCCCAGGGCCCGGCTTCGGCCTGCTTCCCTCGGTGCGGGTGAGAGATGCGCTGGGAAGAGGTGAGGCATGGGGAGGAGCCCTGCCGGCCACAAAGCGCCGGCGGCGGACAGGCCAGCCTGCCGGGAGGAACCTGTGTGCTGGACAGACCCACCTCCATCTGTGCTGCCCGGAGCCCGCGCCGCGCCGCCCTCCTGGACCAACTCCGCTGCCACTGGCAGCGATGCCGCCGGCCTAGAGGCCAGGACCATCGGCGCAGGGCCCGGCTCCGACCTGCTTCCCTTGGCACGGGTGAGAGATGTGCTGGGAAGAGGCGGGGCACAGGGAGGAGTCCTGCCGGCCACAAAGCGCCGGCAGCCGAAGGACGACAGCCTAAGGGCGGTCGCCGCCGTTTGGGAGCTGTTCGGGGGCCGAGCAGGGGACTGGGCTGGCCAGGGGCTCTGGCTGTGGCTTAGTTGGGGTTTTAGTTTGTTTTTAATTGGTTTTTAATTTGGTGCATTCTCGTGCTTATTAGGATGTTGCCTCGGGAGTGCGGGGCCGCCGCCATTGGGGTGGTGATGGACAATGTACGTTATGGCATTGGGGGTCTAACGGGTCTGCATAGAAGAAGGAGGGACAGATGGTTAACACTTGTCCCTCTTTCTGGTTATTCCCCCAGCCAGCGGGTTCCAGGTAGACTTGTCAACTGCCCCCCAGGCCTGTCGGTGCTGTTGCTTAATGCCAGGTCGGTCCAAAATAAGGTATCACTCATCCATGATTTGATCATGGATGAGAGGGCCGACCTGGCTTGCATAACAGAGACTTGGGTGGGTGAGGAGGGGAATGTCTCCCTCTCACAATTGTGCCCGCCCGGGTACCTGGTCCAGCACCGACCACACCTGGAGGGGAGGGGGGGTCGCTCTGGTCTATTGAGCTTCTATTTCCCTTGTGGGGCTTCCTGTCCTCTCAAGACTGGGGCTAGAGTGCCTCCACTTGGTGTTGGGTGACCGAGACAGATTGGGGATTCTGTTGGTGTACCGTGAACCCTTCTGCCCAACAGATTCCCCACCTGAGCTGACGGAGATCATCTCGGACCTGGTGTTGAAGACTCCCAGGATGTTGGTCCTGGGGGACTTCAACTTCCATGCTGAGACGGTTCTAACGGGGCGGCTCAGGACTCCATGGCCTCCATGATGGCCATGGGGCTGTCTCAACACGTCATAGGCCCGACCCATGAACATGGAACATGGTTTTCTCGACGGGGCAGGAAGAGGGTGATCTGAGGGTAAGGAATTTAAGTTTGATGCCCTTGTCATGGTCAGATCACTTCCTCACAAGGTTTCAGCTCGAGAGCAGCCTTTCCCTCTGCAAGGGTGCGGACCCGATTGTATTGGTCCGCCCCTGGAGCCAGATGGATCCTGATGGATTCCTGGAAGCTCTGGGGGATTTTCCGGTTGACAAGGCTGGTGATCCTGTTGATGCCCTGGTTGAACTGTGGAATGAGGAGATGACCAGGGCTATAGACATGATCACTCCCAAGCGTCCTCTCCCACCTGGCAGAGCCCGTTCATCTCCTTGGTATACGCCTGAATTACAGGCGATGAAGCAGGTTGGGAGATGTCTAGAGAGTAGGTGGAGGAGATCACAGGGTGAGTCTAATCGAACACACTTGAGAGCCCATTATCGGGCCTATGCTGTGGCGGTGAGGATGGCGAAGAAGAAATTCTTCTCCGTTTCCATTGCCTCTTCACAATGCCGTCTGGCGGAGCTCTTTTGGGTGGTGCAGTGGCTGTTACATCCGGGCCCGAAGAGAGATCTGGTGCCACCCTTGAAGGCCCGCTGTGACGACTTTGCCAAGCATTTCAGGGAGAAAATCGCTCAGATTCGCCACGAGTTTGACTCTGCTATTGAATCAGATTTCGCTAGGGAGTTGCCATCGATGCCGTTGAGTCCACAATTAATGGATGAATTTCAGTTGTTGCAGCCTGATGATGTGGACAAGGTGCTTGGACAAGTATGTCCTACCACTTGCTTACTAGACCCATGCCCATCTTGGCTACCTAAGAAAGCCAAGGACGGGATTGGGACCTGGATCCTGGAGGTGGTCAACGCCTCTTTAAGAGACGGCCAGGTACCTGCCCCTTTAAAGGAGGCGGTAGTCCGGCCAGTCCTAAAGAAGGCATCCCTGGATCCAGAGGTGGCCACCAATTATAGACCGGTGGCCAACATCCCATTCCTGGGCAAGGTACTAGAGTGGGTGGTGGTGGGACAACTCCAAGCACTCTTGGATGAAACTGATTATCTGGACCCATTTCAGTCCGGCTTCAGACCTGGGTATGGCACTGAATCTGCCTTGGTCGCCCTGTACGATGACCTGTGCAGGGAGAGAGACAGGGGGAGTGCGTCCCTGTTAGTTCTCCTGGACCTCTCAGAGGCTTTCGATAACATCGACCATGGTATCCTTCTGAATAGGCTGGTGGGATTGGGAGTTGGAGGCACCGCGTGGCGGTGGTTCCGCTCCTACCTCAATGGCCGATTTCAGAAGGTGGTGCTGGGGGACTATGGCTCTGCACCATGGCAGCTATGCCATGGAGTTCCGCAGGAGTCCATTTTGTCCCCTTTGCTCTTTAACATCTACACGAAACCACTGGGAGAGGTCATCAGGAGGTGTGGGCTGAGGAATCATCAGTACGCTGATGATACCCAGCTCTACCTCTCGTTTTCCACCAATCCAGGTGAGGCAGTGGCTGTGCTAACCTGGTCGAGGTAATGGGCTGGATGAGGGCCAATAAACTGAAGCTCAATCCAGACAAGACGGAGGTCCTGTTGGCGGGCGGCTCGGACCTTGGGATGGGGGACTTGGGCCTTGTCCTAAATGGGGTTGCACTCCCTCTGAGGGACAGGGTTCGCAGCTTAGGAGTGCTCCTCGACCTGGAGCTGTCTCTGGAAGCCCAGGTGACGGCGGTGGCGAGGAGCACCTTCCTTCAGCTTCGGCTGATCCATCAGCTGCGTCCCTTCCTAGACAATGACTGCCTGGCGACAGTGACACATGCGCTGGTAACTTCCCAATAAGATTTCTGTAACACGCTCTACGTGGGGCTACCCTTGAAGACGGTCCAGATACTTCAATTGGTGCAGAATAGAGCTGCCAGGTTGCTGACGGGGACTGGGCGTTGTTCTCATATAGCCCCAGTTCTCCGTCAGCTCCACTGGCTCCTGATTGAAGTCCGGGCCCGATTCAAGGTATTGGTTATGACCTATAAAGCCCTCAATGGCTTGGGACCTGGATACTTAACGGAACGCTTACTCCCATATATGCCCTCCCACCCCTTGAGGTCAACAGCAGATGCCCTTCTCCGGGAACCATCTGTGAATGACATCAGGAGGGTGAGTACCTGGAGGAGGGCTTTCTCGGCAGTGGTGCCCCATTTATGGAATGCGCTCCCCAGGGAGGCCCACCTGGCGCCGTTGTTATTTGCTTTTTGGCGCCAGGCTAAGGCCTTTTTATTTAAAACTTATTTTAATGGTTAATTTATTTATTTAACTAGGGTTTTTTTTTTTTTTTAGCTGAGAATGCATTGAGGTTTTATTGAGGTTTTATTGTACTGGAAGGTTTATTGTATTGGGGGTTTTAATGTATGGTTGACTTTTTTGATGTTGTGAGCCACCCCGAGGCTTATTGCGATGGGGCGGCATAGAAATGTTTTAAATAAATAAATAAATAAATAAATAAATACAAATACTGGTTCAGTAGAAATCATTATCTCAATCTGATAATTATATTGGTGACCTCTTGCACTTTGTGCTACCTTTCCTGATCTGCAGTATACATTCTAGATGACTACATTTGAGAAACACTCCAGAAATATTTCACTTTCTCAACTTTTTTCCAATCTCTTTTATATGAATTCCCTAATTTTAGAGAAGTTGCCTTCTTCGAAGTCAAATATGATTGTGTTGAACTTTCTTGGCATTTGGAAGCATATGGTCAATATTTCCATTTGGTTTAACAACACTCACATCAGGCACTAGATCCTTGACACTACTTATGATTAAATCCAGGACAAAATTTCCTCAGGTATATTTCATGACCATCTATTCTTAGGCAGAGTTATGTATTTATTTAAAATATTTCTACCCAATCCTATACGAAAATCATTTCAGAATGGTTTACAAGAATTAAAACAATAAATAAAGCAATAAATAATAATAAATAACAACATACATAATAGCAACAAAAACAAAATGTGATTGTAAATATTTAAAACCAATTAAAATTCCTAATCCTTAAAATAGTGGGTAAATAAAAAGGTACACAAAGGTTACCTCTTTGTCATGACACGTCATTGTGAGAGTAAATGAAGTCAGCCATTACTATACTTTGAATGTCTCCCTAATTTCACTCACCTTTTCAAGACTACCCTCAGCATTTTGGTAAATAGGACAATAACATACTCCCAATACTTATTTTGGGGTCTGCTATTGTCACTTACAGCAATTAAAGGAGTTTGCCAGTACTGCAGTTTCTAGTTTAACACTATACTCTCTTTTCATGTATATGATACTAGTCCCAGTATACCCTTCCTTATCCCCCTACACAGTTTCTATCCCACTGCTTCTCTCCATTCCACCAGGTTTTTCTTATGTCCTGTATATCTCTACTCTCCTTTGAAAGCAAACACTTCATTCCCCACACTAACTCACATCCTAGCTGACCTTCAATAAATGTCTTTGGTGTGTAATCTCCTCCCATTGTCAGTCAAAGGGGCATGTTTCACTGTTCGTTCATGAACTACTTACACTTTCTTATCTATGGGCAAATGAAAATATTTCATCCCTTAAGAATTACTCAACCTAAACCTGATGCCCTCAGCCCCTAACAGAGATCTCGCATGACTTACTGTATTTTTCCATGTATAAGACAGTACTTTTTCTTTAAAATATTTACCTAAAAATGGAAGGGTGTCTTATACACGAGGGGCTGAACAGAGAACCGCAGGTGTGCTTGTGGGGGTGGGGACTGGCACGATCGCAGGCACTCAGGGAGAGAGGTGGGTGCGGGCACGCTCAGGGGAGAGGATGCTGTTGTGGGTGCACTCGGGGGGGAAGCAGGCGCAGGTGTGGGTGCACTTGGGGTGGAGACAGGCATGGGCACCCATATGGGGAAGCAGCGAGGTGCAGCTTGCTCACTTGGAGATCGGTAAGAAAAGTGGGCGGCATCCTATACATGGGGGCTTCTTATACACAGAAAAATACAGTACTGTAAAATATTGTCTTGGATCCAGATTAAGTTAGCCACCCTTAAGTCTGACTGAAATTCATAACATGTCATTGACATAACTTTTCATTTTGATTTTAATGGGATTTAGATGTGATGGTTTGATTTAGTCAAATAATCATGAGTGAATCTAATCTATGCATGGAATCACTAAATTAAGAAACCAGCAATGCCTAAACTAAAAAGCTTCATACAGAAACAAAGCACCAAGAAATTTTCCTGTAAACTTGTATACGCCAACAGGAAGCCATTGTATTTTGCATTCGTGGTTATCACAACTAGCACTGTACAATGTGGACTATTTTCCTGTTTTATCTTTTTCATACCTTATCAAAGTAGTACTGATTAGAATCATCAATTAAAAGTCCTTTTCTAGCATGTTCATTTGTTTCTAAAAATTGCTTATCTGTTCCATCCAAAGGAGAAGACCCAGAAAGGTTGCCAACTCCATTGACTGTTTGGGATGATGGATTCTGTGCTGAATTATTTTCCAATATATTCCTTGATTAAGAAAAAAATAAATTAAGAGCAATATTAATAGTCAAACTGACCTCAAAGTATAAAGTTAATGACAAATTCATTCATTCTTTTCATGTTGAATGTAAAGTACACTTTAACAGTTCTTTTTTTAGAATTTCATTATTAGTCTTTAACTCATCAGATGTAGAGAAATATAACTGAATATCATATGACATAAGGGTTTTTCTAAGCAATTCAGGTTTATAGCACTTATTACTTGGGCTTCATTCCTCTTCCTAAAAGAAATTACTCTAAGTAACAAAGAATACACTACACTGGATCCAAATTTAGTCATACTTAGAGTAGACCCCAGAAGTCAATGGGAACTTACTTAGTCAAGGTAAAGATTTCAATGGGCCAACTCAATCTGTGATTATATTTGGACCCAACCCACCAAGTTTTCACTTCTTCCTTCTAACTTAACACACATAATTATTCTGTGATGCTGGAAGAAACCCACAATATTAAAAGTTATTCACACCCAGCCACTAAATTCCATCAAGCTGCAGCAGCTACTCCCATACATGATTCTTCATTTATATCATCCTGTTTATTATGCTACCTATTATTAATGCAAAGTATCACTGAAATAAATCACATTGCTTGTAGAGGTATTTACCTTCTCCCTGGGCTGTGGTTCTGTGACAACTCTGAATCACTACCCTTTGAAGCTGGGGAAACTTTATAGGTATAAAAGACATCTTCTGTTTCTGTTATGTAGGAAATCTCATTTGCTAGATTGTCTACAGATGAATGTGGTGGTCTACGAATCTCATGGCGCAGTCTGGGACTTCTCCTTAACAAACACAGGATTCAGGAGTCAGATTCTTTTTAAGAAATATTTAAAATATTAAGTATACCATATCCTAACATGCAAGCTAAAGCTTCTTCCTTTCATGGAATTACTATATTACTTTCCAAAAAATATTTAAAATTCGTTATCTTGACTTTCTTCCTACTCCTTCCCCAGTATATTTATACAAGAAACAGATTAACTCTGCAATTATTCCTCAGGATCAAGCGCTATGACTTCCTACTGTGGGGTTTACTCCCAAGTAAGCATTGCAAAAAAAGCAGGTAAATTAAATCTGTGAATGTATGTTTTACACAAGAGTATAGTAGATAGGTTTGAGAAAGCACTTTCTAGTTTTATCTTTACAAGGCTCTGAAGCTGAAAAAATTCCTGCACTCATTATTACCTGTTCAAGTTTTATTTTATTTTATTTATTTTATTTTATTTATTTTATTTTATTTGGAGAGCTTATATGCCGCCCCATTTGCGTAAGTTCTGTCATAAGTCTTAGCATTGGTTTAAGTTATTCTGTGATAATTGATCAAGTTTGAAAAAGTTCAAACCGGGGAGGTAGACTCAATTTAATCTCCTTTTAATTTCCAAGTATGATTTCATTCTGCTCCACAATTTTATAGATAAAACAGTTCTTTTAACTTCATCTATGTATCTAATTTTTCTATTACTCAAAGGAGATAGAAGTGGGCTCAACAATTTTTGTTTCAATTTGAAATCAACACTTTTTTTTTTTTACAACTGGCCCACATGTATTACTTCCATCAAAGTTTCATCCAAAAGTATCCTTACTAGAGCTCTTTCATACAAAGAGGTCAAAGTACAATCCAGTTCAGAGCACAGTCCTATGGACTGCACCCTCACTCCTTGAAAGTCCCCAGATTTAGAGGCTTACAACATTTCTATGCAATGCTGGACTGAGCGGCAAAGGTGATCTTTGCCTCTTTGTTTTCCAGTCTTTGAGTTTTTGCTAGACAGGCTTTTTAGGTCATCTAGCAATAGTTCTTCAGAGTGGAAGGGAAGAAGGCTGGAGGAGACTCAGGATAAATGTTATCCTGGTGTCTCCGGTATCCTCTTCTTCCTATCCACCAGAATACTCCCTACCCACTCCAAGATTGATTTCCCAACCTTGGAAAGAAAGCTGGTATAGTTGTCTCCATGCCAACTCCCCTTTCAAAGGTCAGTGTACTGACTCCAAACTCCAAGGGAGGAATTTGATCCATCCCTATGAAGAACAAGGATTGTTCTCAACTTGTAATGTAATACAGCTTTTAAATAAATATCCTGCCTTCCTAGTAAAATAGTAAAAAAGTCAAAAATAGTAAAAAAGGCAGAAAATAATAATTAGATATAGATAAAATTCAAAACTATAACATAAAATTAAACTGATAGAAAGTCACCATTTACTGAAAAAAGAAATAAACTGATGCTGTGGGGAAAAAATGTTCCTTAGAAAACTGGAAAACTCTCTCTTTAAGGAGGTTTCAAGCACCTATATATTGGTGTAGGGGCATATATGAATTCCTCTCAGCAACCATACTTAGTGAGAGGAAAAACAGTCACGTGGGATCCTTCCCACTGTGTTGAGGATACAGGCATAAATCTACATTTGAGTTTGCTATTGACATCTGGAGAGACAGCGGAGAGGACTTTGGAAGGATTTCCACAGATGGTCTTATCTTGTCATAAAGAGCTTCCTTCTTAAATTTGACCATCTTTTGGGTTTTCCAGAAGAGTCTGCAAACTAAGAAAGGAGTACTGCCCAGGCTTGCCTTAGGTTTGTATTTCATGCCCTCAATCTACACAGGCAGATTTCTTCTGCCAGCAAAAATGGATGTCACAGATTGGCTTCAAGTTGTAATGTCTCATCTGAGGTAGGACAACCACCCTTCTGAAGGTGTCACTGGTTTCCCTCTCTGTATCATGTTTAGCTGGGATCATGTTGTCTCAAGTGGAGGGAGAACTGGCAAAAGAGCAAGGCAGTGGAAAACACCTTCAGGTTCACAGTCAATGTCTCAAAATCACATTGTAAGGCAGCCAAATCACAGCATGCAAGGTGCTCACAGCAAATCTCAGGGGAATCTGGCCTCAGGTGCCTGCTGCATCCTACTTCAGTGCCTGCAAATGGGAATAGTACAGCCCTGAAGAGTTCTGTGTTGGTTACTGCCTGCAGGGGACTGGGAAGTGGCACTGAAGAACAGTTTGTGCATACATTTACAGGCTAAGCACACTCTTTTCAGTGAGCATAATTCCTTCCTTGTTCAAAAACCAAAGAGGACTGTGGTTTACGTGTTCTGAAATATAGGGCCTCATTGGACTGTGATCTTGTTCTTCTGACCCCTCTCCTTTTGTGAATGATCCAAAAAATGCTTTACCAATTTGGTGTAACTGGAGGAGACCGAGACGGCAGGCTTTTGGTTTCTAGATGATCAGCAGATAAGGATCTCCTTACAACTGGATTCCAAATCATGCCACCTATTACTTTTCTGCAATACTGAATATTAGATCTGAAATGAAGGAACACACTTTAGACAAGCTTCTCTGTCCAGAACAACAAGTTTTTGTTTCCTTTTCAGGTGCAAGTAGACTCTTTCTAAGAGTACTTCCATAACAAAACCAGAAATAACACAAGACTGTTTAACAGAAAGTGTTTCAAAAAACCAGATTCTCAGCCAGTTAGACTAGCTGCTATCAAAAGCAAAGAGTAACTATTAGACTTCTTCTGTCCGCACTTTAAAAGCTTGTTGGGTGACATCCTTGTAAGACCACTTGTGATGTAAACACAATATTGCTTCAATGCCAGCTTGAGTAACTTAGTAAGTTGTCTCATTTTTATCTAAAGAGCTCCACATAGTTTAAGTTACCTGTGTATTTCAGAGCTTGCTATATTTCATTCTTAGAAAATAATTGTAATTGGGTAATTGTCACAGCCTAGAACTATCATCTAGTGAGAGCAACGCCAAGGAGGTGTCAGAAGCAATTCTGGAAATTTCTGACAGGTGCCTCCCACCTCAGATCTTGTATCATCATCACTACCACCACCACCATCACATCACATTTAAATCCCAACTTTCTTCTTCTTGCAAGGAATCCATGGTAGCTTGCAAGTGTATCCTCCTCTTCATTTTATCCTTACAACAGAAGGATTACAACCCTATCTGTTACAACTGAGGAGTGGGTGTTGGGACTCTTCCAGTGAAAAGCAGGTTGCTTACCTGTAATTGATGTTCTCCGAGTGGCCATCTGTGCAGTCACACATATGGGTTCTGCGCCTGCGCAATGCCTTTGGCCGGAAGATTGACAGCTAACGGTTTTTGGCGGGAAGCTCCGCTCCCCTCCCCCATGGCCTATAAAGAGCGGAGCATCCGCCATTTGTTCAGTCTTTGACGACCTAATGTGCGCCCCCTTGTGGAAAAAATTTCAGTATGAGATAGGAAAAAAGGGATCGGTACCAAGAAAAAATGGGAAACTTTTGGTACCGATGAATGTGTCCACTCACTGACACTGAGCGGGTCCGGCGGGTGGGTCGTGTGACTGCACAGATGGCCACTCGAAGAACATCAGTTACAGGTAAGCAACCTGCTTTTCTTCGTCGTGGCCTCTGTGCATCACACATATGGGTAGATTAACAAGCTTACCATCAAAGGAGGAGGGAAGGTGTCCTCATTGTAGGATGGAGGAGAGAACAGCTCTACCGAAGGAGCAGTCCCATCGAGCCTGAACATCGAGATGGTAATGCTTGGTGAAAGTGCAGGGATTCGCCCAAGTAGCAGCTCGGCAGACGTCATCAATCAGAACTCCGGATGCGAATGCAGAAGACGTAGCGACAGCTCTAGTAGAATGGCCTCGGGGAACTGTAGGCAGTTCAAGCTTAGCTAACTGATGACACAAGATAATAGTGTGGATTATCCATTTAGAAAGCCTTTGTGGAGTGACTGGGTCGCCCTGATCTCTAGCCGAATATTTGATGAACAGTTTATTGGATCGCCGAATAGACTCCGTTCGCAATCGATAAAAGGCTAAACAACGCCGAACGTCGAGGGAGTGCAAGGATCTTTCCAAGGGATTCGACGGCGATGGAAAAAAGGCAGGCAGTACAATGTCTTGTCCTGTATGGAAAGGTGTAGAGACTTTGGGCAAGAAAGATGGGTCGAGACGTAAAATGACCTTTTCTCTGTGGAAGTTTAGATAAGGAGGGTTGATGCGGAGGGCACAAAGTTCACTGGCCCTCCGGGCTGACGTGACAACTACAAGGAACGCCGTCTTCCACGAAACTAATCAGAGATCCACAGTCGCCAAAGGTTCAAAGGGGGCCTTCATAAGGGCCTGTAGAACTACAGAAAGGCTCCACGTGGGCATAACCGGTCTAATCGATGGATTAAGATTATACAGTCCTTTCAAAAATCTGAGGATAGGATGAAAAAATAGGGGTGATCCGTCGACTAAGCCACGGTAGTAGGCTATTGCGGCCATATACACTTTAATAGAAGACAGCTTCAGTCCAGAGTGATGCAACTCCAGAAGGAACTGAAGAATTTGTTCGATTGATGAGACAAGTGGGGAGAACGAATGAGACTCGGCGAAGGTGGAAAAACGTTTCCATTTAGCTGTATATGACTTCCTTATGGACGGCTTTAGGGCAGAGTCGATAATATGCTGAATCTCAGGGTGCAAGAGCATTGGGTTCGAATTCGACGGGGTCTGTCTCGAACCAGATGGTACGGAGAGACTGTGGCAGTGAGAGGCACCCGCATGGTTGGATTCGAGAATTGGAACCGAAGCGGTCGAAGTAATCGTCGATACCAATGGATTAATAGAAGCTGTCGGATTCGAGGCTCTCAAATCCGTCGTTGGCCCCAATGGAAGGTCAATCATCAAATCCGCCACACTGTCAGGTTCAATGAGAGCAAGTCCGGGTGACAAAGGGTGCTGTCCATTTGCATTATAAGGTATGGAAGCGCTGGAAGATGAAGAAACTCCCCGCGGGAGATGTCGAGCAGTTTCGCAAACCACACTTGGCGTGGCCACCAAGGGGCAACTAGTATCCCCGATGCACGGTCGCTCACTATCTTTGCTACGACCTTCATCAAAAGAGGGATTGGAGGAAAAGCATAGAAGTTGATGTTGCCCCAAGGGATCATGAATGCATCCCCTAGGGATGCTTGTCCAGTTCCCGTTCTGGAACAGTAAGTCTCGCATACCCTGTTCTGTTGGGAAGCGAATAAGTCCACATCGGGGAACCCCCAGCGCCTGAACAGGTGGTTGCGCGTGTGAGGATCCAGTTCTCACTCGTGAGAAGTGAAGATGTGCCTGCTGAGAAGATCCACGTGCACATTGTCTGTGCCAGCCAGATGAACGGCCATCAGAGTGATGTGTCTCTGAATGCACCGGTCCCAAATTCTCATAGAAAGCCTGGCTAAGGTCGGTGACTTCGTCCCTCCCTGTTTGTTCAGATAAAAAACGGTCGCTATATTGTCCGAAGTTATCTGAACGATCTGATAATGAAGGAGGTCTTCGAAAGAACGAAGGGCCTTGAAGACTGCCAATAGCTCTAGGAAGTTGATATGATTCGTGGATTCTAGACGAGTCCACGTACCCTGGGTAGACAAGCCAGAGCATATCGCTCCCCATCCTAGAAGTGACACGTCGGTACCGAGAGTTGTCATAGGAGGTCGCGCCCTGAAGGGGACTCCCATCACTAGATTGGTCGGCTTCAGCCACCAGCACAGGGAGTGGAGCACGGAAGACGGGATCTGAATCAGTTTCGATTGTGGGTCCCTTTGAGGATGATACACCTTGTTGAACAATAGTTGTAATGGGCGAAGCCGAAGTCTGGCATGTGGAACTACGGCAACCGAGGAGGCCATATACCCCAGGACCCTCTGGATGGATCTCGCCGTAACCGTTCCCTGTCAACGGATTCGATGGATATGGTGAGCAAGGGTCTGCTGTCTGTCCCGAGGAAGGAAGGCTTTCTCCAGCGTCGAATCCAAGTGGGCTCCAATGAAGGTAAGCATCTGTGTCGGGAGAAGAGAAGATTTCTCTGTATTAATATGCAGGCCCAGACTATCTAGCCAGGTACATGTTGAATGGATGGCATCCAAGAGTCCTTCTCTGGACTGCGAGACCAACAGCCAGTCATCGAGGTACGGGTAAATCTGTATGCCCTGAAGGCACAGGAAGGCACAGACAGGAACCACACATTTGGTAAAAACTCTCGGGGCCATAGCCAGTCCAAAGGGTAGAACTGTAAACTCATAAAGTTGATTTGCAACTGCAAAATGAAGGAAATGCCTGTAAATTGGATGAATTGAAATATGAAAGTAGGCGTCTTTCAAGTCCAGTGAGGCGAACCAATCCCCTCTCCTCAACAACGGCAAAATGTTTTGAAGGGTGGTCATACGGAATTTTTTCGGTACAATAAACTTATTCAAGTTCCGTAAATCCAAAATCGGACGTAGACCACCATCCCGCTTGGGAACCGTAAAGTATCTGGAATAGAATCCGTGAAGTCCGTCAGAAGGAAATACTTGACGAATCGCTCCTTTTCGGAGAAGTTGGTGTATTTCGTCGAGAAGTACCAGCGAACATGAAGTAGACCGGATCGGACTCGATGGAGGAACGGTGTCGAATTCTATTCGATAGCCGTGTTGAACGATGGGTAATACCCACCGGTCAGATGTGATGGACTCCCAGATGGGGAGTCGGCTCCGGAGCCGATCCCCAGATGAGAGGGGGGTGGGTATTTGAGGAATATGAGGAGTGGTTCGCCAATCCCGTCAGCGCTGCCTCTGATCGTTGAATTGGCGACGGCCCTGCTGGTATCTTTGTTGAGGTTGCTGACGGTGGCGTTGTTGTTGCTGTTGCTGCCTATGTTGAGGCTGTTGCCTGGGGTGATATTGCTGCCTGTAGGGCGGACAGTTCCATGGCCACTTACATTTGGGCAGCGACTGAAGCGCCATTCGTTGGGCCGTCATCCGAGACTCATGGAGTTTCTTGAACTTGTGGTCCGTCTTAGCATGGAATAGCCCGGACCCATCGAAGGGCATTTCTTCGATGCGCCGCTTGGTCTCTTCAAGGATATTGGCACTCCGTAGCCACACATGTCTCCGAAGAGAGACGGCACCAACCAGTGCCCTCGAATTGGTGTCCACATGGTGCCTGGCTGTGGACAATTGTTGCACCACCACATGCATCGCCTCTTTGATGAGGACCTTGGCCAATTCGCCCTGTTGATCCGGGAGGGCCAAGACGACGTTGTTGAGACGCTGCATTATGAAATACTGGTATCTCACCAACGTCGCCTCGTAATTAGAGATATGCAACCCCAAGCCTGAGGCTGTGTAAACCCTCCAGGCCAGTGAATCTATCTTGCGGTCCTCCTTGTCTCTCGGCGCGGTATGACCCCTTGCCTCTCTTCCTTGGGAGGACTCCACCACGACCGAGTTCGGCTTGGGGTGTCAGAGGAGGAATGGAATGTCCTCCTCCCGAACCCGGTACATGGCTT